AAATCAAATGCCAATATTTCAAATATCACCAGACTGAAACCGATTAAACACACACTGAGGCACTCATAACGCTAGCCTCAACGCAAAATGTTTTTAGAAAAATTATCCAAACATTCAAAATGTATTCGGTAGCCGCACAGCATGGTTTTAAAGCTTTTGATACACAAGTTGGTCTGTTGAATTCGGTTAACTTCGAACACTATTATCAAATGTAGAACCCTTGCAACGAAAAGGCTATGATAGCGAGTGTTTTCCTCGACATAGAGAATGAAACTCAATAATTTGTAATATTAAATTCTGTGTTAAAAACATTTGTTAGTTGACCATTAAAAACACCATAAAGCTATAGAGGGACAAGCTAACTATATTTTTACAAACGACACTGAGCTGATACATGTATATATATATACGTGTTGTATTGATCCGCAGACAAACGTGCGTGTTAACTGATTGCGTTTTACATAAACCTCGACAACACACACATATATTCAAGCATGAAAGTAAAGTGTCACCACGAAAACCCAAATACAGCCAGACACTCGTACACAATCAACGGTTCGATCTGTATAGATGGCTGAGAATCTTAACTGCGTTATAATCAAATCGAAAATTCTACCTGCTGTCGAATATATCAATACGAGTATCACTTGAGTATTGTATTTATAGGCTTTAAAGATAACACATTGATATATGTTCCTGTGTGTGATTTTCACTATATCGAACGTTGTATTATTGTACGACATTTCGTTATAAATACTATAGAAGCCATGTCAATTTCTGTCTCGATTTGATTAAGTGTAATATATATATTGCTGCAATTACGTTTTCCCTTCGTTCAAAATTATTAAGTGTGGATAAAAAATATGTCTTGTTAAAATGTGTACATTTATATATCAAACATAATCTATGCATATACGTATTTTCATTTAACCAGATACATATATATTTACTACGTACATTGGCTATATACGTCTCTGACTTATTGCATTTGACTATTATTGTATACATGTATCATTGTAAATTTGTAATATACTGTACTATTTGTATGTCTACTCTCCGATGTGTGTTACACAAGGAATAAAACAATCTGAATCTGACTAAACCATAATCTCTATTATGAAATGATGCCTAATTAACCGTAATATCCAATACCTCTCCTAATAACAATCTCTATAAACCTATTTAACACCTCGCACTAATCTACCCTTATAACTACATAGCTTGTGGTGTTAGGTTATTTGAAATTTTGTTAAGTGATTTTCAAGATTTACCTAGATTAAACGGGAACATCTACGTCTGAAAAGGTATGTCTTGTCACAAAACATTTCCCGTATGGTATTTTTTCCCCATAACAACTCAGAAACGATCTCCCAGTACGCGTATTGCATTGACTCAGTATGGAATGTGTACTTTTATCAGCTAACGCCCGAGCGGGGCCTTTCTTATTTACTTATTTTTTAAGTTAAGTCCCCATAATAAATCGTGTTTGAGACAGGTAAGGAGTTAATGCTATTTATGTACGCCGTAACGTGCCTATCCCTTTTTACTAACGTACATAATCCACGTCTTAGTGTATTTCTTCATTTCCGTATTTTTTGTTTGGCAGTTTATGTCCCGTTGTGTACTAGGCTACAGATAATCATCTCAAAAGTTTTCTCACAAAGAATATGATTGAGTCAGAGATGTTTGTAAGATATGAACGAAGTGATACAAAACATAGTGTGACAGACTTCAAGAACAAGACAAAACAGGTATCATTTATATATAGGCTACAGACAAACGTAAAACGGGGACCAATAGAAACAATATCAAGGATTACGACACGTTTAACTCAATCCTGCACCCTAAAACAAAAACAACAAAAGCATGAGAGTGGGGTGGTGTTAGTTATCATTTGCGACACACCACAAAGACAGACTTACGTAAGTGTAAAACAAAACGGTAGTAAAAAATAAAATCCTTTTTATTTTGTCATGTTCACCAGCGGCGCAAATACCATGATACATTGTCAACTACTATATGTATACTTACAATATATTACATACACACTACATGTACATTTTGAAGAAAAGAACACCCGGACTGGCTGTCAGTTACGTACTTACATTGGGGATATAGAGGGGTGGGACTTGTGGGTTGATCAAATCCATTGTATGTTAGTCAGCTTATCCTTTGTGTGAAATACTGCAGTGTAATTTTATGGTAAACTGTCCTATGATTACATCTCTGTGTAAAGTAGGTAGATTGTTTAACATGCACATTTCCGCTCTATTGTAATCTATTAGACCGGTTACACTATCGATACTTGTAATAATACAGTAGACACGGGGAGGAGATCCGACCATGTAGGATCTATCGTAATGTAATACTGATTGCCTTTTAACACCTTGCTTAAAACATCTAAAGATTCAGTTACAACACTGTGATCACAGGATATATATATAAATGGTCATGACATTAATACTTCTTTAATATTAACAAACTTCTGAAGGAAACTTCAGGCATTTGTCATAACTAAAATGAAATGATTTCCTATGTGTGTACCCCAATGATAATTATTAAACAGTTATAAATACTTTAATTGATTCCAATAGATAACCTGACCTTACTATTTTTATTGTGTGTGTGTAGACTAGTCATTAGACTATAAATCACGCCATTCGACACAGTTACTGTCACTTGTTTTATACTTGTTATGGACTTGTTCAATGTTCATGGACAATATTCAGGTATTCAGATGTTAACTTCAAAGTCTCTTAAACTGTTAGCCAATATATCGCATCCTGTTATAGAATGACGTTTTGTGTGAAATACAGGGTTCGCCACTAACATTAGTTCTCTAGTCAAGAGACTCATAGATATCACCAAGAACTAGTAAATATATATTTTTATGGCAGTAGTTATTTGATGTTCATGCTGGAGATGTTTCCTTAAGGAAATTATGTTCTAGTGATCATCTGTTTAGCTAGTACTGTGGATTACCAAAAAAAACACATTTAATTCTTAGTCCGAAATAACTAACTAAATCCTTTTAATTTGGTTGATGGGACGGAAATAAAATTAAAAATCGAGGTAGATCAACCACTTAAATTTATTGCATTTTACGCCCGTTAAGAATTCAAAATTCAAATTCAAAATTTTATTTGCACATTTGCTACTAAAAAGTAGTTTGAAGGCAAAACAGTGAAATACAGTGAAGTACAGTATGAACAGAACTTTCAGCAGCAAAATAAACATAACACAATCAAACTATAGATACTTATGTTGCAAGCCTTCTCCAGTTCGAAATATTAACTTATGAAGGGAGGAAATTCGCACGAATGTTAGATCAGCTAGAACTGGACATCCATGACCTTATAATCACTAGCGTATACTGTACGTACGGTATATGCTATTAGCACATCAGCTTTAAGATAACTATACAGACACTTTTAATCATGTTTACATTAAATATGGGAGATTTGTATTCGATAACAGTCCTCGGAACAAAAACGTGTCAGTTCGATTTTCCCTCGACACCCCTGAATAGTTACAGTCACGGTCCTGTGTGTTTCCATACTCTTAATTATAACGATGTCAATATCAGCAACGCTGTCCATTTCACTCATGACGGTGTCAACATGGACATGACATGCGAGGCAGGCGACGATATCGGTGTGATAGGATCACGTTAGTATATATGGTGGTTCCTTTGTTTACCTGGAGGGGTCGACGAACCGACAACCTGCCCCAGTAATGATATAAGGGGCGGTGGACGGTCCTAATTCAGTGAGAGGACCATTCATTGAATATTGATTTAATAAGCTGTATGGACTGTGTCCTGGATTACTACCACTGATTACTATGTCCGGGGTAATATTGACCACAGCTGGACATGGTATATACAATAACCGGTTTCTCAATTATGCATTCCCTTTGTTGACAAATGTGTTTCATTTAATTGAGGCAAAGACATATATACTGGTTTTACGCTTCTCTGATTAAGGCAAGTAATTTATGTAATATCTGCATGGATGAAATTAAAATTCAATCCCTCCTGACAAGACTCCACTTGATCCGACAGTAGATAGCTGATGTTAATTACCTATACATTCTGACATATATCACACTCTATAATCGATTTATGTCAGTTTTCAATTTCATTTCCGTACAATGAAATCTTTAATTACAATTTGTACATAGCACATATATGTCACTGATTTAATACACAATATTAAATCATAAATCCACAATGTTTAATACAAACTGTGATAAATCAATGACCAACAAAACCTAATAAGCTTTTATTTTTTGATTTACAAATCAAATTAATTTTCAAGCTAACAATGCTAATTAGATTAAATGATAAAAATGACATGAGCTCGGGGACTTACACTGATGCGTTAACAAATCTAAGTAAAAGTGACAATTTATCGTTGATTGTACATAAATGCAACGAGTGTGAAGAACAACCATTGTATAATATTAAAAACCACAGCTGTTGTACGAAAGCCCATATCACTCGTCGCTGACCCATTATTTTGTAGACCTTTTTAGCTCTGTTGTGACTTGTGATATTTAGGAACGTTGTAATTTATTCTGTACTCAATTCACCCAGGCAATTTGCAATTCAATATTGGAGAAAAACAGACAGAGATATGATAATAATGATTGCTGTGATTCTATTCGCGTTTAACCCCTCTTGGTCTAGTTACGTAATCAGTTTCATACAATATTGATTTAGGCGTAGAGCCTAGAACAGGGTCTGCAGCTTCCAGTGACAATCCTCCAACTAGACCAGGCCGTTAGCCGCGGAGTCGCAGAGTGCGATGTTTACATTCATTGTACAAAACACTAAAACCCTTAATGAATAATAAACAGAAAAAGAATCACATATGCGATGGAGTTTCATACTAAATCACTATAAACATTTAAATTTAATGTCATTATAAGACATTTAATTTACAAAGAAATCCATCTATATATTATTTGGATTTAAAGGTATTTGATATATTACTTACCTGTGGCATTCTTTAGTTGATAAATTAAAATCAAGAAAAATATCATCCATTTTGTATAGTCAACAAAGGACACAGTACTCCGCCAGGCCATGAATGAATGGAATCGTGTGTTTCCCCTACCAATGACACTAGCACTTCAAAACATGTCTGACTGGAGATGTTGTTCGCGGATATTAAACACACGTCCAACCTCGACTCGGATCTAGCCATTTATGACCAACTGATATATTGTAAAATTAAGTCCGATTCGTATTGGGTACACAAAATGTATCATATCACTCATTCAAGGAAAACGGAAGTGTGCAATGTTGTGCCGTCCCTAGCGGTGTGTCCCTATCTCACAGCACCGTGTGATCGTCTGCTACAGGCGTGTGCGTCGGAACACGTGTACTGGGCCACATATGAGTCGTGTGTGGAGCTCTAAGGATTCTGACCAAAACGCTGGTAAGACACATGATAAGTAAATGATGACACAAGTAAACAGACTACTAGCTACTACAAAATCACAAGCGTGACGGGGAACAAACACCGCCACTTATCTACCAAATCCTGACTCAGTCACGTCACAAAGAAACTAAACCCCGAGCCGCATTTGTCAGCACGCGTGGTAAAACTACCTGTATGGCGGAACGTTACAACGGGATTATAGCTAATTACCTTGATTACTTTCACACCTGATCAACCAGGCAATGCTTTCCACTTGTACTTTAGAAGGTCTAAAAATAAAGTACATTCTTTAGCCGGGGAGAGTAACCAGTATTTACAGTTGTTCTGGTGGACACATATATATAGACTTCAACCTTTCTCACCTGGCCATCGATTGCGGTTATTTGGACGCCGTATTTATTGATATCCTGCGCGCGGCGTAGACATACTAAATTCAATTGTATGAGTCATTGGATGTAGTTTGTTTGGTTATTGTACCTGTAAAATGAGATGTCGAGGACTTTTTGTTTTCGTCTGTATATTAAAGTCCGTTGGTCGGGGTATTGGGGAGGGGAGCAATTTCATTTGACACTGTTGTCAAGCGTACGACAGCACACTCCTGCGCGTTCACCTCATTTTTTTTGGTTATTTAATTTGATTATTGGCTAACTATATATGGGGTTTTTTTTCATTCCAACTCCGTTGATATGAACTGATGGTTTCGCCAGTTCAATATAGTTAAATGATCTTTCTGGTTGTAACGATAACACTTTTCAGTTTGTACAACAGTGAAGGGTTGGAGAAATCATTAATTCGTTATATGATTATATGAAAGTCATTTAAAGGCCAGGATTCGTTACCCAGGCAAACCACTGTTTAATCTCTACACAAAATGTATGTGACAGGTCACCAGCCAAACTCAGTGTGAGAACATGGTCATTATGTCTCATGATAATCGTGAATTGACTGTATGTGTGTTTACATTTACAAGCTGTGGAAAACAAAAACAATGAACAGACACGATCGTTCAGAATTATAATTTTGGTTTTAATGATATAAACATTATTTTTTATTGAATGATATTATTCCATAAACTCTATTCTATTCACAGTTATGATTTGTATTTCGAGTTTGGAGTTTATATATTATTCATTGTTTCTGGTAGTGGATATATTTGTTTTTGTCTCAACAGCAATAATATATGAAATCCTTTCACCAGTTAATAAGAAGTCAAAAATGCAAAAACTTAAGGATGACAGAGGATGGACGACGAAGGACACAATGATTGTGATACGTCACTTGAGCCAAAATGTCGCAATGGAAGCCGCAAACTTTTTTTGTCACTTTTCTGTTTCGAAGAAAAACCAAATCCAAAATTCTACAGTTCCCATATTAGCTGTCTCTAGCGGTAACAGAAGATGTATTCAATCCCCAAATATCTGTGATTCTACTCGATGAAATATTCACCATGTCCATCTGCAGTAAAACATTTTACTGCAAATTTTCAACAAATTTACAGTTTATAATATTGTGGTCACCTGAGTTATATCATAGGTACTGGTAGCTTGATGTTATTGTTTAGATGTGATGTGGAAATCAGCATGTAAACTAAGTAAAATACAATACTTGTCATGTCATCAAAGGATAAGAATTTTAAAATATTGGTAAATGTTCCCTTTGGGGCCCCTCCCTAGCCCCTAGGGATGGGGCAGGGACCCAATTTTACAATGTAATACCCTCATCCACCAAAGATGAACCTGACCAAGTTTGAGTAATTTTCTGCTGAAAATGGATAAAATATATCCAAAAGTGTTATTTCCCTATATAAACTATACTAAACTTTACCCCACCCTAAGGGGGAACGGATGGCTTGGGGTCCTGAAATTGACCATTTAAATAAAGCCCCTGATGATCTTTCTATCTATGCACTAAAATTGTCTGTAGTACCTCTGAGTCTGGAGAAGATTTTTGTTCCCTTTCGGGCCCCGCCCTGGCCCCAGGGGTTTGGGTAGGAATCCCAATTTTACAATTCTACCAAGGATGATTCTGACCAAGTTTCAAAAAAATCCACGACGACGACGGACGGAAAGCGGTCCTAATAAGTCACTTGAGCAAAGCTCAGGTGATCTAATAATGATATAAACACCAGATATTATTTCACTAAAAGTGTAATATAAATATTGTATAGAAATAAAATAAGACATTATTATTATATTCATATCATGCTGCATGAAAACTTTGTATGTATGTTTTTCAATCATACTTTCTAAAAAAGACATATATATATAAATATATATATACATCTGCAATACATAATGTATGGAAAGTCAATTATGGAATGCATTATGTAAGGTGTTCTATAATGTATACCGCTATTTCTCCTATATTCATACAATAATGTTGCTACAACGTTATATGTCTTTATATACATTTATCCCAATGATGCTCAAGTGAATATGACTATTTCATAATAAAACAATTTGTTCATGTATTTTCTTGTATCAATATCAACCAAGAGTAGGGGGTATTGAGGCTCACACCTTTCATGACTGGTCAAAATACCTTCAGTGTACAAAGACACACGTGTGCTGCCCACAAAACTAGACCTTAGGGAGCTGGCACTGAAGCCTTGCCTGGACAAAATTAATTGATACTGTCATGTCCCAGATAACACCAACATACACAAGTTGCACTGAATCTCGGCCTTTTTAAGAGACCCCTCATCTATGATACGTGTATCCATTTAACAACAAACCGTGGCTACTTACATAAAATAGACAAATTCTTTTATTAAATATTATTATTCAATATCAGTAAAAAAATCTCAATATGATCTACTTCCGGATGTTGACATGCATTGATCGATAAATCAATAAATCACGATCAATCAATCAAGATTCACCGATTATGTCTATCAATCTCGAGATTGGCTAATACAGCACACGGAAAACACGCACATTTAATTGAAATGGTCATGTACGTACGCGTGTAAATATTTCAGACTTGAGCACACGCTGGTAGACAATGGTCTCTTGTTGTGACATGCTCTTATCGGGGAATGAATCACCAATCTTTCACAATGATTAGCCATGCATTTCAGTAGCAGATGTACATGCATTTTTCATTGGCTTCAAATATTTCAAGTGTTTTAGGAGAATACGATTTAGATTTAAGAAGCCAGAATGTTTATTTTCAGTACTAAACAGACTATGAAATTATCATGTATTTCCTGTTCAGACAAAGCCAGAATATATATTTTCACAAAATGAAATAATGTAGTGGTAATAAATGTAAAAATAACGAAGCGGTATAAATGCATTGATAAATATAACACAGGAATTTGCGAAGGCTTCCGTTTATCATAAAATATCACTAAAGCCAGTAACGTTTCAAATAATATTAAAACGTTGTCAGATACCTACTCATATCCCATTCCTTTCTCATCAAATGGTTTGATTTTGTATTTAAGTCCTATATTAACAGTTAGGATTACCTATAAGAACGTGCCAGGTTGTACAGGTGGAGGAAACCGGAGTACCCGGAGAAAAACTAGTGATCTCAGACGGTCAAACTAATTACTCCGCTCCTCCCTCCCCCTCCCCCATCCGAACAAATGGTCCCGCCGTTTAGGAGCCGTGTTGGCCAAGTAGTTTGTCAAGATCTTTCATGATGCCATACTGCCATGTAGTATCATAGGCCTTCTCAAGATCAAAGAACACGGCAACAAGATGTTCCTTCTTGGCGAAAGCCTCTCGCTTGAATGTCTCGAGTCTGATGAGATGGTCATGTGTCCCTCTTCTGTTTCGAAAACAACTTTGAAGAGGGGATATAATGTCGTTAGCCTCAATAAACCAAACCAGTCTTGTGTTTATCATTCGTTCTAAATAAACGCAACTAGTCAGAGAAATAGGACAGTTGTTTGGGCCAGTAGCATCATTTCCCGGTTTTGGGATAGGTATAATTGTGGAGTTCTTCCACGAATCTGGAATCTTTTTGGAAACGTAAACTTGGTTGAATATGTAAAGAAGGCATCTTAGTGACGAGCCCGGTAGGTGTTGAGAAATTGATATGGAATATTATCTGGACCTGAAGCAGTGTCCTGTGATTTTCCAAGCGAATCAACAAGTTCTGGTAGGGTAAACGGTTCATTGTAACTTTCTTTGTTTGATGATTTGAAATTTAGCCGTTTCCTTTCTTCTTTTTAGTCATACCTGGGGGAACGCCAACGGGGACTATTCATTTCGGTTTCAGTCCCAGATTTTGACATCTGCTGCCTTTCGCTGTGAATGCTTCCGTGTGTTTGCTTCTGTCGGAATATACCAGGCGCTAATTACATGGCTCTTGGATAACTCAGATATCGATTTCCTTTTTAATCAGGAATAGCATAAAACCTAAAGGCGTTCCAAATTTCACACGGGAATTACATATAACTTAAAGATGTTCCGAGTATGAATCGGGCACCTTTGAGGTTCCCAAAGGGGTACGTAGACTGTTATATTATAAATTGCTTTTGGTTGATTTAGATATTTTATGTCTGACCAACGACTACCGTTATACTCGCGTATACTGCGCACTATTTTTTAAGGAAAAATAAAGTGTCAGGAAAGTGGTGTTCACGATACTCAAAAACAATCCAAAACCAGTCCTTGGTCGCGACGATTTATCGTAAATTTTTCGATGAGTTTCGGAAATGTTTTGAAATATGCTCGCAGCAATAAACTGCTAAATTTCGTTGAATAACCCCTGATTTGCATTGCCAATTTAGCTATTACGAAAAGTTGCAAGTTTAAGTCATAATTTGCGATAGAATCGGATAAATATAAACTCGAGTAAAGTAGGCCTAACTTTTCAGGACGTTACGTTGTGAATTGATAAATACCACGTATGGGGAAACATAACGAAGAATTGCATCGTAATAAGCACTCTGGGGTTACAATGTCGTTCATGGGTAAAATGATGCTGAACTATTCAATCTTGACAGTAGGAATGTGTCAAAACGACATGGAGAAAGTGGCGAAGTTCGCAAGTTTGTGTACCGCAAAGAGTCAAGGTCGCGTGATACTATTAACCGGCAGGAATTCACGAGGTGACATCCATGCGAATTGAACCGATAATGAATAAAGTTTGAGTTTGAAAAATAAATATTAACGGGCTCAAAAAAACCCAAATATATTCCATTTTTTTCTTTTCAAAGAAGAATTGCTGAAATCACAATTGTTTGGTGTTCT